TCAGGCAATCCACTTACCTCAGCCTCCCAAAGGCACGGGATTACAGGCTGAGCCACAGAGCCCGGCTCTTAACCACCTTTCTACTCTCCTGTTTCCATGTATAATATTTGATTTTTTTTTTAATACAACGGGGGTTTTGCAGTTTTTTTCCTTCTGTGTCTGGCTTATTTCACTTAGCACTATGTCCTCTGGATTCATCCACAATTGAAAAATACAATATAGCCAGAAACGGTGGCTCACACCAATAATCCCAGCAATTTGGGAGGCAGAGGCAAGAGGACTGCCTGAGTTCTCAGGTTTGAGACCAGCCTGGGCAACATGGTGAGTCCTCAACTCTACAATAAAAAAAAAAAAAAGAAAGCTAGTTGTGGTGGTGCACACCTGTAGTTCCTGCTCCTTGGAAGGCTGAAGTAGAAGGATTACCTGAGTCCAGCAGGTCAAGCTGTGGTGACTGTGAGCATGCTGCTGCATTCCAGCCTGGGCAACAGAGTGAGACTCCGGCTCAAAAAAAAAAAAAAAAAAAAGTATAATATAAAGATGAAACATCTTATGTGCCTAAAAGTAAGGCATTCCTCAAAAATGATATGGACATGTCAAAAGGATAAAGGAGCCACCATAAAAAGGCTCCCACTGGCTGTTCAACAGTGGCCCATATCCTTCAGCCATTTCTCTGCCTCATCAGTGGGTGGGTTGCATATTTCTGTGGCAGGAAACACACCCTCTCCTTGGAGATCTGAATCTCTAACTTTGTGGTGGTGGGGGGGGGATCATTTCCTTCAAATTACTTCCTTATTAACTCTTCTTCAGCCCCAAAGATAATAACTGCCTTTTGTAGTTGCTACTTCTGTGTAAGAGCCTCTTCTACCACTTTTAGTAACTGATCATCTTTCACTAGAAAGTAATTCTTTGATTTTTTTCTGTTAAAATCTATCAGGTATCTGTTTTTACTAGACCCTGACTTACACAAGAACGTATCACTTCTCTGTATTCCCATCCAAAAAATGCATATCTAAATATAATCATAAATAACATCAGACAAATCCAGAATGAGATACATTCTACAAAATTTGGCCGGTACTCATCCAAATTTCAAGTTTAATAAGATAAAATCACAACTAACTGCAATGTGTAACTCTGGCTTCACTCCTGTGGTTGGGGAATGGGAAGTAATTATAAAGAGCATTATTAGCTGGGCTCGGTGGCTCAGCCTGTAATCCCGTGCCTTTGGGAGGTTGAGGTGAGTGGATTGCCTGAGCCCACGGATTTGAGACCCGCCTGGGCAACTTGGCGAGACCTCATCTCTACAATAAATCAAAAATCGGCTGGGCGTGGTAGTGCATGCCTGTAGTTCCAGCTACTTGGAAGGCTGAGGCGGAAGGATCGCCGGAGCCCAGCAGGTCGAGGCTGCGGTGGCGGCCACTGCACTCCAGTCTGGGCGACAGAGTGAGACTCCAACTCAAAAAAAAAAGAGTATTATTGAGAAAATTAATGGAATTTTGAATATGAGATCTGAATTAGATAATAACATTGTATCAGTGTTATAGTTCCTAATGCTGGTAATTATACTGTGTTAATATAAGAGAATGTCCTTGCTCCTAGGAAATGCACACTGATGAATTTAATGATAATGGGGAACTTATTCTCAAATTGTTCAAAATAAACTAACGTGGGGAAGAGGAAAGGGAGAGATGAATCTAAGTAGTGTACAAGAGTTCTTTATACTATTTTTTGTATCTTTTTAATAAATGTTAAATTGTATTAAAACAGAAAGTTACCAAACCCAAAAAATAGTTAGTCTTTGAAATATGTTAAACATGATTATTTTGAAAAGCATCAATAAAAATTCAAAATGAAAATCTGGCTCCAGATAGTAAACTGAATACATGCATAACTGGAGTGAAGCTGCCAAATAAATTTCAACTATCAGAAACTATGAGCAGGTAGAGTGTGTTTGACGATAAAACCAGAGCAAATCTGTTAACACAAAGCTTGGAGAGAAGGCAGGCGTCCAGAGGTTATAAGCCATTCACAACAAAGCTACCAGCTGAATCAACAAAACACAATCAAGAGCAGAGCTGGGACAATTATCAAAGCAATGAACTGAAGGAAGCTGTGGGAATACCTAGACCTGTCAGGCATTTTCCCTCCTGTGATTATGCTGAACAGATGGCATCTTCAACATTTGATTTCAGCAAGACAACATTCTTGGAACTGCTTTTAAAATAAAATGAACAAGCCGGGCTCGGTGGCTCAGCCTGTCATCCCGCGCCTTTGGGAGGCTGAGGTGAGTGGATGGCCTGAGCCCGCGGGTTCGAGACCCGCCTGGGCAGCGAGACCTCATCTCTACAACAAATCAAAAAATCAGCCGGGCGTGGTAGCGCGTGCCTGTAATTCCTGCTACGTGGAAGGCTGAGGAGGAAGGATCGCCGGAGCCCAGCAGGTCGAGGCTGCGGTGGCCGGGAGCGGCCTCTGCACTCCAGTCTGGGCGACCGAGTGAGACTCCAACTCAAAAAAAATAAAATAAAATGAACAATTTACCTGGTGTGGGAGAAGACAGTGTGTATGTCAGTGAATTGTGCAGGGTGTGCTTGTTAATGAGGAGGTCAGAAAGAGGCAGGCCTGAAACACAAAGTGAACTGCTAATTTCCACTTTCGCCTCAGGCGAGAATCTTACTCTCGGTTTTCTAGACTGGGAGTTCTAACACAGAAACCACCCAGGATGGGCACGGAGGCCTGAGAAGCAGGGAAGTGCCCCAGGTTGTTCGGCTCCTGTTTTCACCCAAACGGCAGTTATTCAACTGACTCCACTGTCTTTCTGGCCCATTCCCACCTCCAACGTGCAACCGCCCTTCCCTCCAGCACAGAGCTACTCCAGACGACGACCAAGAGACAAGACTTCAGAAATCAAAACTCGAACTCACCTACAAATAAACATCAATTTGGGAATGGTAGCTCATGATAAAGCAGTCTTTGTTCTCTGCTATATTCCCAAGACCTATAACAGTGTTTAGCACATAATCATTGTTCACTAAAGATTTGTTGAATGACTTGATAAGACCAAGGCAGAAGAAATAATTTAAATACCCAACCTAAGTGATATTAGTTAAGTGGTAATCCATAAAATGAAATATTTGGCCAGGCTCGGTGGCTCAGCCTGTAATCTCATCACTTTGGGAGGCCGAGGCGAGTGGATTGCCGGAGCCCGCGGGTTTGAGATCTGCCTGGGCAACTTGGCGAGACCTCATCTCTACAATAAATGAAAAAATTAATCGGGCGTGGTAGCGTGTGCCTGTAGTACTGGCTACTTGGAAGGCTGAGGCGGGAGGATGGCCAGAGCCCAGCAGGTGGAGGGTGCGGTGGCCGGGAGTGTGCCACCAGCCTGGGCAACTGAGTGAGACTCCAACTCAAAAAAAAAGAAAAAAAGAAAAAAAGCAACGAAATATTATGCAGCTAATAAAAAGTTTACTTGGAGAGTTAATAATACGGTGAAATATTTGATACACTAAATTTTTCCAAAAAGGAAGCATATACTCATGAAGGAAATACACAACCGCTTGCTGAGTCTATGTATGATTTTTATTTTGTCGTTCTCTGTTATCTGCTCACAGATGACTTTTATTATCAGAAAGAAGATACTCCTTTAATTTTTTTTTTTTTACTTTTTTTGTTTTCCTTGAGGAAACGTCCAAGTCAGATATGATTGCTAACCAACCTGAACTGAATGTACGAGTTAACACTTGCAGGACGACATACAGTACCTACAGTACGGCGCTTGAGAACCAGGACTCTGGAGACTTTTGGAATACCCCTTTAAAGCCGGGTGCGGTGGCTCACGCCTATAGCTCCAGCACTTCGGAAGGCCGAGGTGAGAGGATTGCCTGAGTCCACGGGTTCGAGACCAGCCTGGGCAAGTTGGTGAGACCCCTCCCCCCCCATCTCTGCCATAAACCCAAAAACACGCCGGGCGGGGGGGCGCACGCCTGTAGCCCCAGCTCCTTGGAAGGCTGAGGCGAAGGATCCCCGGAGCCCAGCAGGTCCTGAAGAAAGAAATACTCCTTGAAAGCTGGCTCCTGAACAGCTGTGGGACCCGGGCTAAGTTTCTCAGCCTCTCTCTGCTTTAGCTTCCTCCCTCGGCAAAGCCGGGAGAAGAGACTTGGTCAGGCGGCTGGAGCGACGATGAAATGAACCGACGCCGCTCC